ATTATCATAATTTCAAAATAAAAATTGTTTATTATGTAAAAATTGCATACTTTTAGGAGAACAATTGAACATCAAAAGCATATTATAACAACAATAATAATAAACTACTCTTAAAATAATTTTTATACATCAAACAAAATTTATAAATATTAAAATCTAATGAGATATATTATAGTATGTACATAATGAGAGCAACATATTTAATTAACATTTTTTACTCAAAAACAATATCACTCATACGCATCATATGATTTTATGTTAATTAATATTATAATGAGCGAAATTATCATTGAATATTCTGAGTACCCTTACCTCTATACTTACTTCAAACGAATCTATTTCTTTTTACCATTTTATTTCAATATCATTCCAAGTATGTATGAATATAAAATTCATATATGTATGTATGTATGTAATATACGTATAATTTCAGTGGTTTTGAGCATGTAATTTTCACTACAGAAAAAAAAAAAATATTACGAAATATATAAAATAAAATTATTTGCAGTCCTTATAAATTAAAGGACGTCATAAAAGAAAGAATAAGAACAAAAACAAACGAATTGTAGTGAAATAAAGAAGGGAAAAAAAAAATAAAAAAGAAAAAATTATAGCATGATATTGCAATTATATAATCTGTGAACTGCATTCATGCTGAGCTATAGAAGTTTATAAATCTTTGTGTAATGTAGAGGGAATGCCATGGAATCAAAAATTTTCTCTTTCTAGTTTGTTTTTTTTTTTGTTCTATTTTATGTTCCATATACAAATATTTACATTATTGCACAGATACTTATTATTCTTTGTTACTTCCTCTTAGAATTTCTATTTAGTTTTTAAAGGAGAAGTACAAATCGTCCCCATGAAAGAGAATTCTAAAAAAAATAAAATTTTAAAATTTATATTTGCATATAAATTTTCTATTTTTTAATATGAGACTATAATAATAAAATGCTCTATTTCATAATTGACCATCTGAGCAAAAATTAGACAAATTATTAAAGCCGGAAATCAACTGAATTTTTTTTTTTTATAAGCTTTTTCTCTTCTCTACTTTTTCATTATCGTATATGATTTCGTATACTCTCATGAAGAGAGTGAGTAAGTATACATTATAATTGCATTCAAATACACTTATTTAATATTACTATGTATATTTAATTTTAACTATATTCAATACTATAGGAATATTTCAGAGTTATTAAAGTTATTAGAATATAGGGACATTATTATGGTACATGTATACATGATGTTATAAGTATGGGGTGAATAATATGAAATTTAATGTTCTGTATGCTCACAAAAAGAGAAAGAAATGTAATATGTATGGTGTTGTGTGTGAATGTAAATTGTATACGTTGTCTTATTTTTTACTCTTAAATTTATTTAAATTAATACTGATATGTAAATTTGAAAAAGTAATATTATAATATTTATATGTAGTATATAGAAAGGATATGATACAAATTCAGGATTTTTAAGGAGGCAAGAAAAAAAGAAAATACAAAAAATTTTCATTTTTCATTAATTTGTTTTTTTCTCTCTCAAATTTTAATTCAAAAATCTTAAAGTAAAATTAACTACACTTTGTTATAAAAAAAAAAATCAAAGAGGTTAAGGATTTTATGAGAAAATAAATATAATTTTTAAATGAATTGAATCGGAATGAAAAAAAAGCAAAGTAAATTGGGATTTTCATTATAAAAAATTTTTATTCACAATTATTTTTTATATTTTTTTTTTAAATTAATTCAATTTTTATTTTATTTCCATTAAAATTCGGCAGATATTATGCTCACTTTTGAATTTTTTGGTTAATTTTTCTCTTCTTTTATAATTTTCATTTATTTCCTCCTGGATGAACCGTAAAATAAACATAATAAATAGAATTTGTCCTCCTTTTCTTTGGAATCTAGCCAGAAAAAAAAAAAGAAATCATTGCTCGTTTTTCTGGTTTTTATTCTAATTTTTTATTATAAATTTCCTTTGGCTTGTCATTTTCAATAATTGAAATGCGTGTTCTTTTTCGGTTAAAATCTACTATAACTTTAATTTAATTAAGACTAAAATGAAAATAAAAATGTATTGAAATATGAAAATTATTTTTTAAATTTAAATAGAAAAAATTTAATAAAATTTGTGGAATGAAAATTTGTATAGGAAAATTTATTGAATAACGCAAAAAGTGGGCTTGAAATTCGGGAATAGAATAAGAAATTAATTTATCAAAAAGTAGATTCAATTCAAAATGAAAAAATAATTGTTGTCAATTTTAAATAAATTGAGTTAAAATTGTTATTTTGAATTATTTAGAAATTATTGTTGGAAGTTAGTTGCGCATTTTTACAAAATATAATAAATTAAAAAAAAGTGTACACATTTTACAAATGGAATTTTTAATTTAATTAATTGATTTTGTCCTGATATCTTTATTGAAAATTGTAATTAAATTTGTTATATCGACATGTTTTACGAAGTTATTTAAAATGAGTTTGATGTGAATTAAATTAAAACACATTAATAAATTGTATTCCTTCTTAGGCTTGTCGAACTACTACTGAATGAATGTTAGATTCCAACAAAAAACTCCGTTATACTTTCATCACAATGGAGGAAATTAAATAAATATTATGTTCCGGAAAATTCTAAATTAGAAATTTTAAAGTGAGAAGAAAGTAATTCAATAAACTTTTCCATATTGAGCTAACCAAAAAAAACTATAATGATAAGCTCGAATAAAAACTTCGAACTTGTTTCAATAAGAGGCCAACAACTTTTTAAAAAAAAAAAATTTAACTTCTAAACTAATTGATTTAAAACTCAGAATAATAATTCTAAATTAAACAGTTTAAGCTATATTATCGCAAATATTTAAAACGTAGAAGTGGTTGAGGAGAGTAAAGAAATATCCCATCATAAACTGCCAAATGATTTCAAACTACCCTGATTAAAAGAATTTTCGGAACGTTTCTGATATAAGAATATTAAAATTAATTAAAAAGTCATACTATACCTATAATAATTATTGTTATGTTCTCTGTTAAATAGAAAGCATGCTGTTGTGATATTCTTTGTTTTATAGCAAACGCTGTTAAAATATTTAGTAACAATATTTTTTATTGTATCCTTTCTTTTTTGCTGCGAGTTCCAATATTTTTATTTTACTTCTATAAAATAATTTCAACACTAATATTCAGATTATTTCGAATATAATTATTTTAATCGTACTTAAATAAATCATGGATTCTTGTTTTTTAATCAATCACAACAGAAAACAACCTAACCATATCACAAAACAGCTACAATAGTCCTATTGCAACATATAAAATCAAATCAAAGAAAAAAACAATTCTTTCACAATTCTATTTCAACTTTAAATGAAATTCTGTCTAACTCAGAAATTCTATATTAAATACGACATTATATTCCGAAATAAAGACTAAAATATTAGGAATACTTAAAAATGATTTCAATATATAAAATTGGAAAATGAGAGGAAAAATGAAATTTTGCATGAGAAATTGAAATTTCGATTCAAATTTAAAAGTTAATTTGGATTAAACCAAAATTTGAATAATAAATTTAAAAAATGTCATTTTTAGGAAATTGTATGATCATCTATAGAGATTTCCCTTCTTCATTCCTAGGGCTAGTGCATGATATCATATATAGCCATGCCCTCGTTTCATTCAGCCATAGAGTTTTAAATAGGTAAGGGACTAGCTTGCCGTAGGAGCTATAAAGACATAGCTTTCAAATATGACTGGGTAAGTACAAATTCTCTTTTAAAGAACTGAGTTTCTCGCAAAGAATCATTTCAATTTAAAAATTAACTTTCAATCTTAAAAAGTGAGGAAATATTGTGCCAAGATAAACGAACAGAATGCGTGCTAAAACACGCATCAAAATTAATAAAATCCTAAAATAATTAAAAAAAAAAAATAGAATGATTAATCACAGTACCACAGAATATTTTCACATACACTTTGAATTTTAATTGTATTTTTTGTTACTCTTATTCAAAAACTAATTAGTTTTGATTGAATAAATTACTATGCAGATAAGCAGCAGATTTCTGTTCCATTTCATTCCTATGTACAAGCACATATAAAGTGAAATGTTGATTTTGTTTTTCTATTCAATAAAACCAATCCTAGGTCGTGAAAATAAAATTTTATTAAGTAGGATTTAGAAGAATAAAAAAATGTGTGTAAAAGATTTCATTTTATCCTTGTTTTACATTATTCATTTATACATTCAAAATACAAAATGTCTAATGTAATTATGAGCATAAGAGGCGCAAAATTCTAAAAATAACAAATCGTTACAAAAATTGCATTTGTATACGACGTTCAAGGATAAAGAAAGAAATGAAGAGAAAGGAATGTATTTTCTTTTCTTTCAGTATAACTTAATGAATTCTTGTGTGTTTGCCTTTGAAAATCGGTTTTCTTTTTGCATTTTCTTGTCATATCGTTGGATTTCTAAAAAAAAATTCTTTTGTATTTTCACGTCTTTTATTTTTTCTTTTTGTTCCAAAAATCTTAGCCTACTTTCTTGTTTTATTTTCGAAAATCTTCCTTTTGTATTGATTTTAATATCAATAAAAGGATGTCGAATACTTTGTTTGCTATATTCTATGAAAATTCAATTTAGATGTTATTTTTTTTATAAAAGCTACTTGAATTTTTTTTTCAACTCTATTCTCTGCAGGTGACATTTTCTTTTTTCGATATATTGAAGGTTTGATTGCATGTAGTACTTTAAACAAAATCTTATTGTTATAAATTTTCACTTAAGTGGGAATATTTGTCTGGAAAATTAAAATGGTTAAAAAAAATTGAATAAATCTTTTAAAAAATCTAAAAGAAATTTAAAAATGTCAAAATCAGAATTGTTATACAATGTCATTGGAGTAAAATATAGAAGATAAAATTATTTATTTAATATTTAAGTAATTCTTATTAATAATATTTGTTTTATAATTTTTATATTTTCAGTTTCACCAGAAAGTTCAACAACCGTAACAACAACATTTCAACAGCCTACAATGCCATCGTCAGTGACGGCCGGCATGACATATGATAAATTTTTAAAAAATAAATTAACCCCATTATTTAATTTTATATTACCTACAACATTAACAAGTATAACAACAACAAGAACTAACAATAAAAATAATAATGATAATAATGAAAGAATATCAAATGATATAATATTAAATGAAAATAATTTTAAAATGATATCGAAATCAACAACGACAACAGAATCAACAACAACGTCTACAATAACAATAATGGAATCTATATTACCTGCATTTCCTGTATCCTCATCGTTATCATCATCTGTTCCATCACTTATTTCTCCAACAGAATCATTATCATCATCGTCGGCATCATTATTAGAATTGGATATAAAATATAGTAAATCTAGTAATAAGAATAATTTAAATAAAATCAATAATAGTAATAAGGATAATAGTAATATTATTATTAATAAAAATGTAAATATTCCTACCGGTATTAATTTAAATTCGAATGAAGAAATTTTACAAGATTCTTCTATTATTTCTTCTTCTATTTTAACACCTATACAATTATTAGATGAAACAAAAATGACAACATCAATAAATAAAAATAATCATAATCTTCCTACAAATTCGTTTACATTATCACCATCATCATCGCCATCGTCATCAGCGCCTTCAAAAACAATAACAATAACAAAAACAATAGAAAATGATAATAATTCAGTAAAAGAGAAAACTTTTAAAACAATAACAAAACTAAAAAATAATGATAATAGCAAAAAAGATAAAAAAAATAATAATACTCATCAAAATCAAAATTATCAATATCAAAAGCATCTAGAAGAACAGGAACAGGAGAAAATAAAACAGCACCAATATCAAAAAGAACAACAACAAAAATATATTCATTATTATCATTATAATGATCATAAGCATTTATATAGTAAAAATTATCAAAATCAACAACATTATCAACATTATACTCACAATAATAATAATATTGATGATAATGATGATGATGATATTATGAGAATTAGTAATGTTAAAAATAGCATCAGCAGCAACACCAGTAACATTAATAGTAACATTAATATTAATAATAGAAGTAATAGTAATCGTAATGATAATAATAGAAATAATTTAAAAAATAGTTATATTAATGATAATAGTAATAGTAATAATTTTAATAATAATAGAAATAATAATAATATAATAATAAGTAAAAATAATAATAATAATATTAGTTATAAAAATAAAAGAAATGTTCCACAAAGTGATGAACCTATTGATGCGGCTACATTACAAGCTGATTTATGTGCTAAATTTACAATTGGTGATGTTGATACACAAACATTTTATAGTCCAAATTATCCAGATAATTATCCAAAGAATATTAATTGTACAAAAGTAATTACAGGTGAGTTGTTTTCTTTTTTTGTTCTCAAAATTAATTCAATTTTCTTATACAATTCGTGTATATTATATAAAAATAATTTATATAATATACACGAATTAAATTTCCTAAATGTATATTCTGTACTGTAATAGTAACAGACATTTTATTGTTACGATAATATTCCATATGAAACCTGTATATTTAATAATTTTATCCTATACAATATATTAAGGTATATACAAGTAAATTTTATTTTATTATAGGAAGAAATTTAATCTTGCTTAATTTTTCTAAATACGAGTAGCAGACGAAATAGTTATGTATATACATACATTATATTTTAATATAAATAATAAAATTTAATATGAAGAAAAAAGAATAAACTCTTTATAACAATAATAGCTATGTACAACAAATAAATAAATTGTTTGTATTTTATTTGATAAGAAAGAGAAAGGATAGTTTAGTGAACCTTATATAAAAGAATTAAAATTGAACATGAAGTAAAATTAAAATAAATTGGATTTTTCTCTTCATATAATTTTCAAATCATTATTCTATATGGAATTATTTTGTAATCTAAATAAAAACCTTTATTCAATTGAATAACTTTAATTTATTTTAAATGAAATTTAATATTTCTAATGTTTAGAATTAATTATTATTGTTGTATAAATGAGCACTTCAATTTGATTAAAATTTTAAAGATAAAATAAATTATATTTCATTAATATTATTATTTCTTGTATATTATAGTTTTTGCCGTTTAAATAGTTCTATATGCTCAGGAAATAGAGAATATTAAAATAATTATCTATATCACTTCTCTATTTATCTCTCTTGGTTGATTAACTTTATTTCAATATCATATACTATTGTAGATAGTTGTAGTTATAATTATTTATTGATAGTTATTATTCTTATTCAATATAAAATTAAATAACCCCACATTTTTACATTTTTCATGGTAACCAGTCTTATAATTTTACAAATTATTCTGAAATCCATTCGTTTTGAAATTAAATATGCTATCAGGTTCCCAATTATTTTGCAATATTGTATGATTATAATATTGTATGATTACAATATTTCATCAAATACAGTAGTTTATGAACAGGACTAAAACATATTTTGTTTCTGCTTTGAATCACCGAATTAAAATCAGTAACAATTTTGATTCAATTGTTTTTTCTCAAAATAATTATTTGAAAATCCCACGAAAGAATTAAAATTTCAGTTCACAACCAAATGCTTTTCAAATATAAATTTGAAAGGTCTTGATTTTTCAAAAATTAAAAAAAAAATTTTCTTCCTAATTAATACAATGACCTTCTAAATGTATGAAATAATAATGAAATAATTAAAAATTTACACCAATTATACAAATAAATTCAAAAATTTTAAATATCCTTTGAACATAATTACAAAATTTAATTTTTTTTTACACTTTTATATTAAATTTGTAAAAAAAAAGGAAAATTCATGGAAACAAATTAAAATTTTCTGTATTTCTTCTTTTTTATATGCTCCTCCTTTTAATTTAATTAACTAAATTAAATTATAAAATTATTACTATTACTCTTTTATTTCCTTATTTTATTTTCAATCTTAAATCTAAATTGCAATTTTACATAAAATCCTTGTGATTTTCTTAATTGAAATTTGTTCTTTTTTTTGTTGTTATTTCACACTCATGCACTTACTAAATTTGTATATGGGTATAATAATTAATTTTAATTTATACTATTCGTAATTATTGGGTTAGAATTTTTCGAATTTATATTTTTTTTTAGGTTAAATTTTATAATTTTTTTTATAAAAAATGGAATTCAATTAAGAAATTTTTTAAAAACGTGTTTTGTTTAACAATTAAAATTGAATGTTTGCAACAAAATAATTCAGAACAATTTTATTCTATATAATTAAATTTAAATTTTTTTTCTATACCTTCAAATTTTCATTAGTATTTTTTTTTTTGGTTTCACTTTTCTCTTAATTCTAACAAAAAGAAAGAAATTGCTGTCACCCGCTAATTTTGTATGAAAAGCAATTAAAAATCGAAAACAATATTCTCTTCATACCTTATATTTCTCTTCATACCGAAATTTTTATTGTTGCCTTAATTAATTTTTTTACTCAACAACTTTTAATTCCAAAATCGAGAGTATAATTATTGAGTACACACATTTTATAGCTTTAAAGTAAAATATAAATTTTATCACATTCTACACTTTTTGAATTTAAAATAAAATTTCTCATTGCTTCCCGGAGGGTGTAGTAAAATTTCGTAAAAATGCCAGTTAGTATGATTACTATTCTAATCAAAAATTAAATATAATTATAAATTTAATTTGCATAAATTTTTTAAAAGAAATTTTAATAATAAAAAAAATTAATTTTTTTTTATATTCCACAGCACCACCAGATCATATAGTAAGATTAGATTTTCGTGATGTGTTCAATATTGAAGATAAAGAGGAATGTAAATTTGATTACTTAGAGGTAAGTAAAAAAATTTTTTACTTTAATAGATAGTAATAAATCATTTAGATTTTAGAATTTTAAAAGCATCATACTTCAACATTATTGTTATTAAAATTGATTTAAATAATAATAAAGTACTTGGAATCATGGACGAGATTATAAAATTATGTCTTATGCTAGTATAACAAAGTGGAAATATATAATATTATTAAGAAGAAAAATATTATTAATAAATAAGTAAATTCAAAAACATAAAACTGTCTATTTAAAATTTTAAATATGATGAGGTTTTTCACATGTTTGTATACAGATGATGTATATGAAATAATCATGCCTTGTCATGTAACACACTATCCTATAGTAGAGTATATAAAAAGACAATACTATTAAAGTCACAAAAATATTTTTTAACACAACCTTTGTAATTATTATCTTGTTTGTATTTTTCTGTTTTTCTCTGACCATTTGAGACAATTTAAAAAATAAAATTCTCTTTATTTAATGTCATACCCTTGTCAAACGTTTTTATGTATTTTTTTTTTTCTTCATGTTTTGTACAAAAATTTTAATATTTTGTACTTTTGCCAAATTTAAAGTACTGGAAGTGCAAAAAAAAATAGAATAAATTCAGAATCATCAGTATAACACTTTTGTGTATTTTGTATAACAGGTATAGGATTTTATGAAAATATTGATTTTGTAATTTACCTGGGTACACACATAATTTTAGATGATCTTGTTAGTATTAGGTCGTTTCAAATATTGTGTATACAAGTTCATAATGTGAACATTTGCTATTATTAAGATCACTTGAAGCATCAGCTTGTAATGTTTTAAGTTTGTGACTTCGTTCGCATAGTTTGTATATCTGCCAGTATTATAAAAATAATCTTAATAATTTTGTGATGATTAACACTGGTAAAGAAGGTTAATTTTCATGAATTAATAAAATTAATTTTCTTGAGGAACTTTGAACAAACAAAATATTCTTACCTTCCCCTAATTGTATGCAATTTTTTTTAAATTTTATATAATTTTTTCGTTTAATTGTTTAATTTTATTCCTTGCTTTCATTCAAAAATAAAAAATTAATTTTTTTCTGATTTTAGATACGTGATGGACCATATGGATTTTCAAAATTAGTTAAAGAAGAACCAGGAAGATTTTGTGGTAGAACATTTCCAGATGTTATACAATCAACTGAAAGACATTTATGGTTATATTTTCATTCGGATGAAAGTATTGAATATGAAGGTTTCACAGCTGTCTACGAATTTGTAGAAAGACCAAAAAATGGTAAGATTATAAAAATTTTTATCATACTTCTGAAAGCATGTGAAAATAATATTCATAAAATTTAGAATTTTACGTAACTCACTGAATACTAAAATAAAATTCTTGGAATTTGAGTATCAAAACTGTAATTAAGATGAAAATTAACAAAATTTTTTATAAATCCTTTTTTTTTTTTTTTTTTGCAAATTAACTTTTTAAAAATACTTTTAAAACTATTTTTTGAAAGGATAACACATAAAAATGTGTAATTAATTATTAAAAAATATGTACAAAATTTTAATGGAAGCAATTCTGAATTCAAAATTGGAAACATCATTTTTTGTTTAACTAAAGGATTATGTTAGTTATTTAAAAAAAAAAAAAATTTTTGACTAATTCCAAAGGAAAATTAGAGGAAAAAAACTCAATAATCCTTTTTGAAGTTTAACAATTTTATTTTTTTGCTAACACTCCTGTTAATATTGAAACTGTTTTGAAATAAAAATTTTTTATATTTTTGTGTTCTAATTCACAGTTCCAAGTAAAGATTTAAATTGTACAATTATTAAGAAAGGTTATGAAGGCTGGATCAATCATACAGATGTGCCACAATATGTAAAAGATAATGTAACGGAACATAAAATTCCAATCGATTGTATGTGGAGAATAGAAGCACCAGAAAATTGGAGGGTAAGTTTGCAATTCCAAATAATGTAAATTTTTCAAATAAGGTAGATCTTAAATGTAGAATATTTAAAAATCTGTTTTACTACAACCACCCTTCAAAAACACTACCTTTTAAGGACTGCGATTTTATTAGATAGAAAGCGTGATAAATTCGAATTGTTGTTTAGTCATGTGCTCTATACGAGATAGTTGGAGCCGCTGAAACCTCTTAATGTTATACATTCACATATTTTCTTTGCCATTTCTCATGCAGACGAATTTTTACCACTCCTTTTCTATATTTTATTATTTTTTTTGTTTTCTTTTTTGGAAAAATATTAAATTCACATTTCTGCTTATAATAAAATAAAAAACAATTTTATGTTCTTTTTTTAGATACAAACAAAATTTATGCTTTTTGATTTAAAAATGCCAAATGATTGCAATATGAATTTCATTGATATTTTTCCAGAGGATACAACAATACCAGCAAGGTAAGGTTTGAAAATTTATTATATTTGTTTGACCATTTTATAGATAGAGCAATAATAAAATTGCAGTACAATCATAATATAAGAGCAATAATAAAATTGCAGTACAATCATTCTTAAATGATAAATTATATTGCAATTAATATTGCTCTAATAAAAAATATCCTTGAATAAGTAAAAAAAATTCGTGTTTTCTTTTCTAATTTCTAATACCACAGAAAATTATATACACACTCCCCTCGACCACATAAACAAAAATTTCCTTGAATTTGAAAAAATTTCCTAAATTTGAGTAGAAATAAAAACGAAACTTTTCTCCGCGTGGAATTCATTTATTCTGAAATTTTAAAATCAAAAATATTTCAAATAAAGTCCAAGCTTTGCCATCAATAAAAATATTATCAGATAGCTATTGTTTTTCACGGCAGAAGAACTTTTATAACACAAGAACTGATTTCATTAATTTTTATAAGGATACATACTGCAATATAAACACCTAATTCTGTTACAAAAATTATTATGGTTCAATTGCTAAATCTGTCAGAAAATTAACAATATTATCACCGAATGCTAACTATTATTTTACCTTTTTTATTCCCCTTTTTTTTCTACAATATTTTAGTTTATTCAAATATTATTTTTATTAATAAAAATTATTTTACTAATAAAATAAAACATTTTCATAGAATAAAAAATTTTTGTGGATCAGCGGGTGAATCAGCACAATCATCATCAAATATATTACATGTACGTTATTATGCTGAACATCAGGCTATGAATTCATCATTTGAGATATTATATACAGCATACAGGGACAAAGGAACTTCATGTAAGATATACCAACTGTAAATAATGTACATAATTCCCTATTAATTGGAAATTTCAATATTACAAAAGAAAATTACACAAACAGATAATCCAAAACTTGCTCAGAAAATCTATTTTTTGATAATTAATTAGATTTTTTTCTCAAAATTTGAAAAATGGTTATAATTTTCCAATTGAGAAGTTTATTTTTATTCATTCACAGCAATATTTTCTTCATAACTTCAGGATAATTATTATCAATATTTTCAAATACTCTATTCCAAATTTCTATAATCATCCTTTCAAAAAATTTCAAATTCAACAATTCACTCTGTCACATATAACATTTTTGTTTTCAGGGTAAATTACAATCAGGATACATTTAACAATTTAAAAACAAAAAAACTTCTCATTGATTCCACAATTAATATCACATATAATGCTCTATATATTCCAAATATAGAGCAAAGAAAGGAAACAAAAAAAAAATTATACCATAAAATATTTAGCTCAAAATTTCTATGAGATTTCCTTTAACATATAATTTACGTTCATACCTTATATAATATTATATAACTTATTGTTAAAACCATAAAAAACGACCTCAATGTCTGCCAATGCATTGAATAAAAAAAAAAATAGGAAAGTAAACAACCGCAAGTAAATGCATATATTTGTATGTATGTGTGGTTTTATACATAAACGGAAAACCATTATTCATGAACTATACTCTTATACCTTACATAGTTAAAGATTATAATTTTTCATTTCAAAATTTTATTTTCAATTCAAGTGGGAAGAGGGTATAGTACCTGCATAGTCTTAGTCTACATATTATAATTTTCTTTCACACTTGTATAATAGGAAAATCCTGCAAATAATAATATAAACTATTAATACATATAAGGGAGACTAAAATTCTATATAGATAAGAGAAAGAGTACATAAAAGTCATTCAACTTACAATAGAAATAAAAACTTATAAAACTTGTTCAACATTTTATGCAAGAATCCATTTTTAGTATTGGTGTTTTACTTATAGAATTTTTTATATGCATTTTATGATAGTGTTAAGGTTTTCTATATTAAAAGAGATTTTGTTTTTTTTTTTCTGTTTTCATTTTTACTTTCATTCTAAGGTTCAGTAGAGTAGCTCATGTTTTCATAAGCTTTAACCCAAAAAAAAACTAGGAAAAAATTAAGAAATCAAGGAAGGGAAGATTTAATCTAAAACACAATTTGTAACATTTTATTTCGTAACTTTCCCGTTGCATTTTTAAATATTAAGTCTACATTTTTCTAGTCCAAATGTAAGGTAAAAACTAAATAAATACCGTATTATTCTGCAATCTATTCTTTCTAGGCATTCCTGAATATTTTTGAAAAATTTTAAATATGTTTAAAATTAGGAACTCCAGTGTAGAGCGTAAATATCTTACAATATTTTTCAAGACATAGTTATTAATCTATATTTCATTAATATAAACCCATAATTATTATAGTATCTCTATATTGATATAAATAGAAGATAGGTATAGCATTATATAATTCGAAAATAGTCAATATGTTCCTTTTACATAAAAATTTTAAATAACGATTCAATATTAAAAATTTATTTTCATTATAAAAGCTTCAAATTTCTCTTAACTATTCCTGGCCTAGTAAGAGAATTATTATTTAATGCCATTCAATTACCATCAATATTTACTATCTGGTTAGTGTAAAATATTATTCCTACACTCAATTCACAACGAGAAAGTAATAATAACAGAGAATAAAACAAAATAGAGTTAAAAAAAAAAACAAAATTTCCACCACAACAAAATAAATGAGAAAAATGTCAGTTGTTGTTTCTCTTTCTTTTGTTTCTGCTACTAATGTGATTTTTTTGGGTTTGGGGGGGGTTGAAAAATAGAAAAAAGTGTTTGTATGAATTGCCGAAAAGAAATAAAAGCAAACCTATTTTTATGATATGTTGTTTCTTTTCCTCTTACCCTCTCTCTCTTTCTCATGCTTTCTCGGATAGAAAAAATTCTAATTACACCGGAAAACAAAAAAGAATTTTTGTTGTTTGTTTTTGTTTTCGTTCTTATTTTACACTTTTTTCTTCTTTAGTTTTTTTTTTTGTTTTAACAGGTAACATGATAAACCTCCGTTTAATTTAAAGAAGATATGTGTGACGCTTGAGGAAATACTATAGAAATTTTTGTTTTATTTTTTTTTTTGATAAACTCCTTAATGATGCAGTCATTTTAAAAGATATTCTTACAATTTCAACCAACTCATGTAATATTGTATTTAACGTGGATATGAGTGTAGATTGCATTCAAGAGAAAAAGAAAGAAATTATTAAAAACCTCATTTTTACTTATTTACCCAGGAGAGTAAAAATCTCATTTAGGTGATGTTACTATAAAGATTTGTAACACAGTAATGTACAAAAAAAAATTGCTTTTTTTTTTTCATTGTGAACTTTGTGTTCCATTTCTTTTTTTCTAATTCTTTCAAATGTAGACAAAAAAGCCTATACCTATTTTTAGTAAACGTTCTCAAAAAAAAAAATACAACAGAGAAAAAAAAACTATTAAAAATAGGTATGTGATTTCCTAAGAGATTTTCCCTCATTCATTACTCTTATTCATTTTTCTTTTTCTATGAAAAAATTTATATATGTATATTCATTTGTAAAGTTTTCCTGTAAAGTGTAACATTTACAGGTTATGTTAATCGAAAAATGAAAAATATTATAAGGCATGTTTGTAGTACTGTACACAGTGATATTTGAATTAACACGATGATTTTTTTTTTCTGTGTAAAAAATTTAAATGTACTTTGTTGTAATCTCTTAAGGATTTAAATATGAAATGAAAGTCATGTAATAAACACACGTACATATATAAGAAAATATTGATTTTTCCTTTTTCCTTTTTGTTATTTAAAGAGTAATGGGTCAAAGGAATTAATTTTAAAAGAATTTTAATTTTATTTTTTGCTATTATTCTCTTAGGTTTAAGACATAGATTATTTGAAAAACTCTTTGAAAAATTTTTATTAATTTCATTAAATTTTGATTATGCACAATGTCAGATGTGACAAACTTATGTAATAAAATTGCTTTTAATATCAAATACCATTAATACTAAAAATATTCCTTTAATTACCTAGAATTTAATATTTAAATTATTTAAGAGCTTTACTATTACAACATTTTATTACAAAATTATTCTTAGAATTTTTCAATTCAAGGAAAATATAAAATTTTATTTTCAAGTTCAACAAAATTTGTTTTTTTAATATTATTTTTATTGGAGTTAAAAGAATTTATTAAACACTTTACTGAATACATTAGAAACATTCTGAATATCTATAATATGTATGTGGGACTATCTGTGTTACTTATATTTTTACTCGATGAATGAATATACCCTAAATTACTTAAAGTATCTTTGAGTTTTTGCATGACATTAACCTTAAAATATTATTTTCCGGTATTTATGACTGCAATTTCATTTGTTCTTAAGCACATTAACTTAATTATTCTAAGCATATCTAAGGCCTGAACGATTTTATAAAATTTTTTTAAAAATTTTAATTTTAATATACTAGTTGTTTAAGCCTAATTCATAAAATTTGAAATTGAAAATTAAATTTTAGATATTTGGGTAAATTTTGAATAGAATTTGCACATAGCAACAATGATAATGTTTAAAATTCTGGGGTGTTTTGAAAATTACAATAGAATATTATAGCAAAAAATCTTTACCGCGCAAATATGAAATTTTGAGCTATTTTTATTCTTATTTTGTTGAGTAACAATTTTGGAACAAATAATTTCAATTTTAATCTGAAAATTATTTTAAAACTTTAATTTTTTTAATAAAATTCGGATTTTGGTACGCTTTTTTAGTATACTACCATGTGACCCACATATTATAATATTATAATTATTACACTATCTAATATGAATCAGTTCACTTAATAAAAATTAATTTCCTAGATTGATGTACTACAAATACAAATTAAATAACGTGAAATTTTATAATAAGCTCTTGCCCGTCCTTATAGATAAACTTTCTACGCAAAAAAATTTTAATAATATATTCTGACTTTTTATGTTTTTTTGTCGATTATTATTGGCTTAATATTTACAGGTTGTTAAATGCGAAATTCATATTAAAAATTTCTTCGTTCTTTTCTAAGCATGCCATTTGTTTTTTTTGCTCCGATATCAAGATATCCAAGGACACAATATTTTTTTTTTGATTATATTAATTCTATATAGTTAACAATATTAATAAAATTTATAAAAATATCGCGAAGAATTTTCTAAAATATTTTTAATAATTGAAAATTATTTGAAAATTTTTTTTTCACATATCAATATGTAGATACTTAAAAGAAGATCTTTTTGATTGATTTCTTCATTATTATAAATTTGAATAATAAAAAAATGTGCACAAGCAGATTTTATTGGATATAATATACGTACGTACATATGTATGAATACATATAATATTATTAAAAAATAATTCACAAAAATCTATTCAATAGAAAATTTTAATAAAAAATTATTAGAATTTAATTCGAAGAAGAACAATTAAATATGGAATTTATTAATAGTATTATACTCAATAAAATTTTTTTAAATTTTTCTAATTAAATTTTCAAAAAATCAATAATAATTTTTATTGCTTCAATTATAATGAGTCCGTACACGGTATTGAACATATTATGAGATTTTGATTTTAAACGCAATGTTCTCTACCACAATGTTCAACACAATGTTCTCTACCTATTTTAATATTAACATTGAAATGAGTAATTTTATTATTGTTGTGTTGTGCAAGTAATTGTATTATATTTCGTATTGTATTACAACAAGCCACACCAACATTAAATTCAAAGAGTAATACAATGAGAATAATACAAAATTTTGTTGAGTAAAAATTTTGTTTAATTCTCTTTCTCAATTCTGTAATTTGAGTAAGACAATTAACCAAATTTCCCTAAATAAATTAATAATAATAAAGCTATTAAAATAATTTTTAAATAATTTTTTTTTTCATTGCTTAATTATTATTATTTTTATTAAGAATATATAAATTAATTAATTATTTTTGAAATTTTCCAGCCTGTGATGAAGAACATGAATATGATTGTGAGGATACAACTTGCATTTCACGTACATTAAGATGCAATGGTCGTGATAATTGCAAATTTCGATGGGATGAAGAAAACTGCAAAGTATGAGCAAAACAAAAAAAAAAGTCCTATTAAATAAAAATATCACAATTTTTTTTCTTTTTGTTGAAAGAAAAATAAAAAAAACAAAAATTGTGATATTTTTATTGGGGAAAAAAAATATAAAGATTTTTTGCAATATTTTTAAGCAAAAACAAAAATGCCAAATATCATTTTCATTGTTAATCAATTTATTTCTTTTATAATCTTCATAATATCCGCTTCACGACGACAGCGCAAATAGTAATTAATAAAATTTTTTCATCATGTTGTGAATTATTGTAAATATGTATGTATATTTGCTTAATATATCCATTAAGAATACATGTACACATAATATTTAAGGATCATTAAAAATATTATTAATTAAAATTTCATTGCGTTCCTCTTATTAATATAAGAGAAACTTCGTAAATATTTGAATTATACATTCATTTTTCTTTCATTAATATTCCTGTACATGTATTCGATTATACCACAAATAATTATTAATATTCATACAAAATTATTTCAATTTAATATTGAAAAAATTTTCAACTTAATTTGAATAATTTTCATTGTGTCATAAGTAAATTTTGTTGTTCTCGTGTAACTCATTAAAAAATAAATATTAAAAAATTATTAAATGACATGTTTGATAAGCGTAAATTCATTAACAATTTTTGATATTACCAACAAAATTGCTTATATTTAATTGGTAATACCATTTAGGCATTCAGAGTTTCTAAGAGCTCTAACTCATTCATTCAATTACGATTTTATATAATAAATTTGACATCATTTAAAGCTTTTTGCTAAGATAACATTTTTAAATATTAATTAATGTCCATGAAATTTTAAACATTCATAGCTATGCATTGAATTTTCCAGTAATTATTTTCAAATCAAATCAGTATTGTATTTAATTTTAAAGACGTTTATAACAAATCTTCATTTTCATAAGCTAAATTTAAAATTTTAAGAACTTTCAAGAAATTAATTCAATATAGATAAAATATTTAATGAAATTTTTCGTTTCTAATAAATTTTGAATAAATAACAAAATTATATTGAATACTTCCGGCATATTTGAATTTCATATACGAAAAATCATTATGGCAGCTCCATAAATTTAATTCTTCTCTTTGTAATTGTAAGAATTTTCTTCTATATTATGATCATATTTTCCATATTCGTAATAATAATTTTAATCACAACATTAATTTAAAATAATTTTTTTTTCGGATTTATTCCGATTAACAATGAAAATTTTTGTGTACTTTGAAAATTTCTAACATTTAATTTATCATAAATTTTTATTATTAATTTTCTACATTTACATTGCTTATAATGCAAAAAATTTAAAATGTAGCTAAATTATAAATTTTTAATTAAATGTTAGAAATTTTTATAAAAAGTTTCATATTTTGCATGATCATTTTTTTCATTGCATTCATTCATTAAAATACAATCAATCAACAACGTTCATTATTCTCTTACAATGTATCCTACGTCATAATTTAAAAAAAAAAAATTTAAAACAAAAACTTGCAGAGTGATTCAGGTGGTCAGTCCGAACATGTTGTTATTATAATTGTTGTGTTCGGTTTGATACTCGGCGGTATGATAGCATCATTTTTATTCAATTGTATTCGTAAATTGGTTAGGGATCAAAAAATTATTAGGGTAAGTATTAAATAAATTAATAAAAATTTATAATTATATTATAAAATTAAATTTTTTTTTAATAGACTTAGATTAGACATAAGAAATTTTTATGTATTTAATAAAAAAATTGACATTAGATTAGAAAATAATAATAATGAGAAAATTTTAGTTTGATATTATTATTATGTACTCCACTCCTAACCTCTTTTTGTTGCGTCTGTGTGAAATAAATGTGTTAGAATCTCTAGTGAATACAAATTTCGTCAAGAATTTGTAAAAATCTTATTGTAATCATTCTTTTATAGAAATCCTTTATAGAACCGTATATGTTGTATAGCGCAGTACCTTACCTTGGAGATTAATACCTTTGTGTATAAAATTGGTTTTTCATTTAGATCCGTAATGTTTACTAGCATTAATCTTAAAAATTATTTAAAAATATTTTCATTACCTTATAGAAAGTAAATAAATTTCAAGGAAAAATTATAATTTTTATTAGCAACGCTGAAGCGGCACTTAAACATTTCGAAAAGCCACATTATATTCTTAATTTCTAAGATTTTTTGCAAAACTATTTTTGGGACCATACAGAACCATACAGATATTCCAAAAAAAAAATTATTCAAACAAAAGTTCTTGGGGTATTTACTAGAACTCTTCAGCTGTATAATTCATGGCCACATTTGTAAAACTTTTTGAGGTCTTTTATGAGAGGTGTGGGATCTAGCTGACCTCAACTGCCTCAACTTATATATGAGTACTATTTTAATTTTATTTTCATTTTTATATCCAATTTTTCTTTTTTAAATATTCTAAATCTTACTTCTTTATAACTCTTCCTAATTTTGATCCTACCCCTCTCAAATTGTACCTTGAAATTTGATTTACACCATAATTATTTTTTTTTAACAAAAATATTTTAGAAATTTAAAAAATAAAAAAATATTTAATGTTCAAATTCAAAAATTAAGATATTTTTCTCCAACAATTCTTTTTCTTTCATTTCATACAAAATTTTAAGAACTTTTAAAATATTTTCTTGTTTTTACGTTATTAAGAAAAGGAAGGAAAACATCTTATTAATCCTTAATTTTTCTTTGAGTAATTTTTAACAAGGTTACATACAAAATTATAAACATTTTCATTTCTGGTTAAACCAAAAAAAAAATGAAAAAGGGAAATTTTCTTCCTCTCAAATTTTGATTTCATTCTCAAAATAATTCTTGGAATTTCAGATAAAACAAAAACACAAGAAAAAATAAGATTTCTTATTTCATTACTTGAAAAGCTTGATTAATTTTTGTAAGAATTTTAAGAATTTCCAAACATTTTAAGAATTTTAAAAATTAAATATATTGTATATAGGATAATTGCGTAAAATAAAAATTTAATTGGTTAGATAATTTTCAAGTAAAAATCTATACATTTGACTTCAAAAATTTTTTATCCTATTTTTAGTTCCTTGAGGAACAAAATTCTTGTAAAAATAAATAAATAAAATCTATGCTCACTGAAAATAATAATTATGTACTTATGTTTCATGCTATACAGAAAAGGGTGTATTGAAAAACAATCCTGTTTTTTCCAAATTTTAAAAAACATGACAAAAATATGACAAAAAAAAGGACATGCATTTTACGTGCTCCAAAGGTTTTCAAATGAAATCAAGATTAAAAATCGAAAATTGAAATTTTAAAATTTCCATTATATTATGATTCTAAAGATTGAAATAGAATTAAAAATTCTGAAGAAATAGGGATTAAGTATGTCCATTACTTAAAAATTTTGAATTTTTCTAATAAAATTTTTTGTTTCAAATAAAATTTTCTACAAAAATTTTTTGCATCAAATGAAGTTTTCCAAGAAAATGGTTTTAATTTTTCAATTTTCCATTTCGTATAGAGTAGATTTGTTAGAACATTGCCCTTTAAAATTGTATTTCCTTGAATAGAATCTAAAGTGTTGACCCTTTTTTTTGCTATAATAGAATTATGGTAATTTAATAATAATTATAAGAACTTAATTAAATGAAAATAAGTGTTCTACGACATTATTGTATTTGTTATTGTCAGAATAAAAGGACTAAATGAAAAATAAGAAGTCATGATTATTGTTAATGATTTGAAATTTGCAATTTTCTCAAAAATTTTATAAATTTATTCAAAATATTCATAATAGAAATAATAATAAAGTTCCGGACAGTTTCGCCAAATATTGGAAAATTTCCCATTTTGAGGGAAAATTTGAAGTCTTAAAGGGAAAAATGCTAAAAAATTTCATTGAAATTGGTTTTTTCTAATTTACTTATTTTAATTTTTTTTTTATATTTGATCAAATGCCTTTTTGACACGTGATTAAAAATAAAAGGTCCTATTATTTATTTTGAAGTTCCTGGAATGATATTACAATTTGAAAGCACGTTTTTAAGCTATAATACTATTAATTAAGTTATGCACGTATTTTATTTAAGTGGAATGCTAGATATAGGCATAGATAAATAACAAATTTCTTAAAGGGAAATTATATAAGCAAATATGGGAAATTTTGAAATTAATTGTGGTAAATTGAATAGGAGAGAGTTAGCAACACTGCTTTCTAACTAAATTTCTTTCCCAAAAATATTTATAAATATATTTATTTTAGTAATAAGAACATTGACTAAAGTTATTTTTAAAAAATTTTTTTAAGTTTGTTACATACATTTCGTGTTTTATAAATGATCTATGTATATAAGATTAACCACCTTCTTGTCCATCTAAATTCTGTTTCATACCATTTAATTTTCATTACATGTGCTATTGCTCCATTTAAAAATTCTGAATTTTATCCTCAAATAAATTTTGAATTTTTATAAAAAAAACTCATGAAACAAAAATATAAAATTGAATGAAAATTTTCATTCTAACACTCACATTGACATTATTTTTCATTTAATTAGACAATTGAGATTCTTATTTCAAAGCTAAAATAAAATTTTTCAAACAATAATTGTAAAAACAGACTGAATTTTTTCATTACAATTTAATTATGAAAATTACAAAAGAGCAATAGTAGCAGAAGGTTAATTAAAGGTGCAAGTGCTAAAACTAAAAATGGCACTATTAACAAAATAATCATAAAAAATGGCAGTGTAACAAAATAAGAGTGAAATTTTCAAAAATAAAGCAAACAAACAATTAATTTATAAAATTTTTTTGATTTATTTAATTAAGCCTTAAAAATAACATGAAATTTAAAATAAATTTTAAAATAATTAAAAAAAAAAGCAATAATTACAGAAAAAACCCCTTTTAGACTTTATTTTGTGTCATTACCAAGCTCAAGGTTAAATTTTTTTCGATTTAAACGAAAACAATTTCAAAAATCTGTTCAAAAAAAAAAAAGTTAAACTAATTAAACCACCTGAAATTGATAACATTAAAATTAAAATACCACAAATCTGATTTGAAAACAGAAAAAAAAATAATAATAAAATAAAAATTATAAAACTTTTTAACGTTAATGTAATAAAAATTTAAGGATTTTTTAATGAACAAGGATATTAATATTTTTCTTATTTTTCATTGTTAACATTTTTATACCCGTACGAACGTATGTTCGAAGGGTATACTAAATTTGCCTTACCGTTTGTAACGCTAAGAAATAACGGTCCTAGATATAGACTCAAATGTATGTTTTTGATCAGCGTTGAATTCTGAGTTGATTTAGCTTTGACTGTCCGTCCGTCCGTCTGTCCTAGCGATAACTCAAAAACTAATTGAGCTAAGTTCACAAATTTTCACAAATAATTTATTGTAGTAAGTGCCAGAACCCTATTTAAATTGGACATGATCGGGGTACCGATTCGGGTAGCTGCCATACAACTTCAAAATTTATTTGGCTATATCTCAGAAACTATAAAAGTTGTGGTTTTGAAATTTTACACAGGCGAATATATTTTGGCGAAATTTTTATATATCACAGGCGAAATTTTTTGGCTCTTTCTAGTAGCTGCCATACAACTTCAATAGAAGTTTGGCACACACAGTATTTGGAAAAACACATAGCACTGAAATTTTGCATAAATTAATATGGTAATACGGCAACTTAAAGTCATAGTCTGTCCCATAGACAGTTATGGCATCTTTATTCGCACATGGGATAACAAATTCGTACGGGTATCACAGAGTTGACAAGGTCAACTCTACTTTTTCTCGTTATACCTATTTCTTGTATTTATACTACATGTACTGTACAAGTACCTAGATACCAAAAAGAAAAAATTTCCAAAATCAAAAGAATATTAGAGTAGGCATTTATACAAGATTGAAATTCAAAAATTTTGCTAATCATAAAATTTAATTACCAAAAAATTTTATCATAAATAAAAAAAAAAAACAAAAATTCCCTTCTTGATTTTAACTTACAACTATTCTTCTGCTTTCTTCTTATACACATTAAAAATTCAAGAATAAATGGTAATAAAGTTAAGAAAATTTTACTTATATCCTTGTATATCCTTAATTTGTATCCCTATATATTTTAAAATATAGAAATTTTATTTTATGATTTTAAGGGTAAAAATTTTTAAAGGGTGAAATTACTTACAAATATAGTGTTATGTATATGCTTAGTAGAGAAGCAAAAGTTTAAAAGGCAATAAAATATAATCATCTGAGAGAGTTTTCTTTAACTGTTTTGAAATTTATTTCGTTATAATTCGCTAATGGCGAATAATAAAAACAAGCAAGCATAAAAAAATGAAAGGATATTTTTATTACTTTGTAAATATTATCAATTATATAAATAGTATGTTGGTCTATAGAATTATGCGTCTTTATATCTATGTTTACAATTCAAATATTATTCTTGTTTATTAATAATTTGTCTGAAGGGTATAAGGAGATTTCAGAATAAGTTAACAGAAAATTTAATGAAAAATAAAAATATTGTAAAAAAATTTGTAATAAAAAAATATTCTAATCTCAATGGGATGGTAAAATTCATGCAAATTAAAAATGTTGTAAAGAAGTTTCATC